CCGGGCGGAGTGAGGGGCAGGGCAGTCTCCGACGGTCCGTAGGGAGAAAGTGGAAAATTTTCACACGCAAAGTACTCGGCGTCTGTCGGCAAGTGAAGGAGCCGCGAAGGGATTTCATCCGTGGAGGAGCTGGAGGTAACTGGGATGGCACGTTATCTCCTCGGAACGAGGATCCGGGTAGCCTAAATCTGTTTTTGAAACGTGCTAAATGTTTCCAAAACAGCAGCGTGCCTGGACCAGACGTTCTTTCGGATTCTCTCCGTTGTCTTTCAGTTTCACAAGTGGGTTTTTCATTCTGTAAGTATCGAGATAATGATTGTAATTGCAGTGTAACCCTTGTACTCATACACAGCCTTCTGAGTGAGGTGCTTTTTTTTTTTTTTTCCACAAGAAAACCCGTGGCATATACCCATAAAGAGTTAGGAAGATGATGATGTTGGGCATGTTATTGGTGCAAGCCAAGTTTTAAACAAGCGTTGCACTTACTGATAACACAGGATCGATTCTGGCAGGGAAACTGTATCATTCCCTTAACAGTATAATAGGTGAAACTTAGTTTCACAGTGCAGGTTGTGTAGGTAGGCTAGTAATTCAGTCTAATTACAGACTCAATAACATATATAGGTACCCTATATGTAATAAAAAAAGGTAATTTTCTTTCTCGCAGCTAAATAACAGAGTTCAGAGTTTCAGGCTTCAGTATCATTTGAAATCTGTGCAAAGTGCACTTTGAACCCTTACAGTGTTTATTTTCTCTTGTCCATGAGGGCCTGTTTCAAGACGCCTTCTTATACCTCTTGAGGAGTTTGGTGCAAGGCGTAGCAAAGTCTATGAGAAGCTGTATTTTGATGTACAGGAGGGGAACAAAATCTTACATAATTAAGTATTGGCTTGTGTCAACTAAAAGCAATAGAGTCAAATGAAAAAAGGGTTTAGTTTGTGTAACAACTCAGATGCAGGAGGCAGAAACTCATACCCCATCCCCCTCTCACTAATGGCAATTTCTGGAAAAGGGTCCCTACTCAGCATCCTTAGGAAATCAAGACCTTTAAGTGATTTTCCTGAAAAACAGCTAACTTAGTAAGCCATACCTAGGGATCTGTACTCTCAGTCACTCTCATCCTTTCTCCTACTGAACAAGGATTTACTGGATATTGTTTTCCTTGCATAAATTTGCACATTCCCATGCAGTTGTTTAAAAAAAAAAAATTCCAGTAAAACACTGTTGTCCAAAAGTAAAATTCCCACCAGCGTACAGCAACAAGGACTGTCATTTTCTTCTATTTTTAATACAAATTCTTGGCATTTTTACCATTCTAGGTTCTGATACAGTGAGTTTTGGCACCATTTAGCCTATTACTCATAATTTAACCTCATGCAGAACTTCCACTGGAATCACAGAAGATGACTTGGCTTTTCAAGAAGGACACGGTGATTAGAAAATTGCTTGCTTTTATTGTCCAATTTACTCAAAAACTGTTTCAGTATTAGTCCCAAAGAAGTAAGTTTAACTGAATAGGTAACGTTCTTTTGCCTGATGTTGCCGACTCCATCATGGAAAAATCTTGCACGGTCTCTGACAGGGTGAACAGATCAGCTTTTGTGAACAGCCAGGTTCTGTTTTCCAGTGTGAGTCTCTACGTGTCCTCCAAAGGACAGAAGTATACAAAGAGTGCCGCAGAAACACTGCCCAGATCCCCGCTGCATGTGAGAATATGTGGCTGTTAAAGGCCACAGATGAAATGTCAACTCTCTGTGCTTTGCCTGTAGATGAAAAGGGAGCTTTAGCAAGGAAAACACTGCTGTCAGGTACAAAGACCCAGGTTATCATTAAGTTAGCAAAATAAGGACTGTGTTTAAGCAGTTTGAGGAGCAGGGTGGTGCTGCTCTTGAGGAATGGCAAATAGAAAGGGTAGTATTCCTCACGGTAAAGAAAAGAGGTGCAAAATGTGAGTTATCATTGAAATGTTGGTGTAATTAACTTAGCTGAGTAGAATATTAAGTAAATAAAACTAGTATTAAGCTAAAAGCTCCTGTTGAAGGCATGAAAAGAGCTAGAGTTGTGGAATAAGACTTAATATTGTTAAGTACTGCCAAGCATAAGTGTTTGATTTAAGCCAGCTGGGATAGCAAGTGATGTGTGTTAGCTGTACAAGAGGAAGGTACTAAGGCACCAACATCCATCCGGAGTTCATTGCTTAGCCTTTCTCAGCAAGTTGGGGTGTTTGTTCAGGAACTGGACCTAATAAGTGCTCCTGTCTCTCATCCAGCCTCACATTCCAGTTTCGGGACCTAGGCAAGCAATATGTCTTCAATAGCAAAAGTTAGCTAATCATCGCAGCAACAGGGAGGGAAGAAAAGCATGTGGCAGGGGAAAGAAGGATGGACCCCTTATTCATGTTCATCTATGAATATCATAGCCAGAAACAAAGTAACACAGGCACTCTTGGATCAAAACCCCCTGTGTTCCTTCAGTCAGTGTCATTCACTTTCCATTCTTTCGGTAGCAAAGTTATTTGCACTGTGGTGCTTGGAGGCAGTCAGAGTTTACTGCATCAGGGTTGATGCATGGTTTAGTGGACCAGCTATGCATTGATGGAGATGCTTTGGGCATCTCTTGGAATAAAGAAGACCTGAGCTAGGCACTAGGGTAGGGAGGTATCAGCTTCTCGTCTTTAGGCCCATCACATGGGTGACACATCAGAACTATTTAAGTGTTTGGGCAGTGGTGGTAGCAGCTGTTGATCCTGTTTTTTGTGATACATCTTTCCCAAAGTGCTGCTTATTGTCCTTGACTTTTTTCTTTATGAGCTGAAGGTTTTAGTCTTGCCAGTGCACTTCTCTTGACCCTGTAGTGACTCTGCCATACAGTTTTTTCTTGATTTCACAGTGTTAGGGTCCAGAACTAATTTAAAGGACCAGTGCACCAGGCTGGTTACCTTAAATGCACAAGCAAATACTCAAGCAAATGTCCAAGCCTGGGACCTAAAAGACGTTAAGGCATTCAGTGTTAGAAAGGTGGCCAGAGCAAATGCATCCTAAAGCAATGAGGAACATCTCTTGGATGACCAAGGAGTTCTGTTGGGAAGTTTCTTTGAAAAGAATATATATGTCCTGCTGATTAATCCATAGTTGTATTTGACAGCAATGGACCAGGTGTCAGGTTTAGGTTGATTTCATGTGTCCAACTCCCTTGAAACGTATTTTCATCATTCTTCCCTGATTTGAGTGTTTTATTTATCTGCACCCTAAAAGTATATACTATCCACTTCTTTTCCATAGCAACGCCTGTTTCCAGAATTTGCCATCTGGTGTTTCATATTTCTCTCTCTCTCTTTCCTTTTTTTTTTTTTCCTTATTTTTTCAGCAGCTCTAACATTACTCATTCTGCATCCATTTTGACTTCAGCATCTGAGTGACATTTTCTTTATTGCTTATCAGAAATTTCAGTAGGTCTGTATTCTAAGCCCTCTGCAGATATGTAGCTAATTAAGCTGGCTATATGACTCTTTAGGAGAGAGATGCTGCTTCGTGTGGAGTATTATTGGACTACAATATTCTTCCAATTTTTGCTAGTATGTATTTATATGGTATGATTTTAATAGGCTTTTTTTCTGATTAAAAATTTAAAACATCTGCTCTTTAGACGATGTAAATCGTATAAGCCATATGTGCATTTAAAAGACTGGGCAGCCAATAACTTCTTGTCTACAGTTAGCAGCCTTTGCTTATTTTTCTTTATAGAAAAAATAGAAAACGCAAAAGGTAATGTCATACACGTAAAAAATGGGTGTGCAAATAACTGTGCTCTTTTGGTCCTATTGATCTTCCTCCTAAGTTCCTTCCTATTGCCTTTTTACAACTATCTGATCTTGTCTTTACGTGTTTTTTTAATTGCTGCCGTAGCAACTGCTGTCATGAGAGTGATACAGTTCCTCAGTGTGGGAATCTTCACAGGAGCAGAAGGATGCTGATAGCAGTAAGATTACTCCCTTGAACTTAGAGGAACAAGCTCTTATACCAAGGCATTTAGAAGACCATGAGTTGGTTTCTGGCAGAAATTGTAGTTAGACAAGAATTCCTGAAAGCCCAGGATAGGCAGTCTTTGGTCTGGGGACGCAGCAGTGTCCTCTACTCTGTCAAGGGTAGCGGAAATCCAGATCCTGCCTGGAGCCTGTAGCGGGCATTACAGTTCTTAGACTCCCTGCTCTTCGTTTCTTCGAGAGTTGTTGTGCCTATTCTTGCCAGACCAGAGAACTAAATAGTTGAGAATTCAGCTGCCAAGAGTCATGTTGCAGATTAAAATACCATGGAATTTAAAAAAAAACAAACAGAAAGTGTGCTAAAATTCTGACTTGGCAACAGAAACTCAACAGCGGTAGAGCTCGTGTCCTCTAGGAGACAAATGGAGCTGAGTTAGCCTCCAGATTGTAGGGGTTTTTAAAGTAAACAGAGATCTTACGCATGCTTTTAGTCTGTTCTGGAAAATGAAGATTATTTGCATTTTTTCCCTCAATTTCTTTTCTCTTCCTAGGCACTTAGAAAATAAAAAACCCCAACATTAATGACACGAGCAGAAAATTACAAAATACTTAGTGCCAGTCAGTCCTAGGCAAAGAAATTCATTTGACCCTTCTGGTTTTGAATACTGTAATTGCATTCCCGTAAGGCTGTTGCACAACTCTGTAACGGAAGACTGTACTGCTAGCGTAGTGGGATGTTACAGGAAAGCCAGTTAAATCTGTGCAGTTCTGCCCATGTATTACTTGAGAATAAATTAATTGTTTTCTTACAAGGAGGGTGCGGTCATTCACTGGATGGTGAGTAACTATTTCAAAATTATGCTTGATAATCAGGAAGAACAAGTATTTCAATGCAATCCTATCACCTTTGTAGTAAGTGTGTAAAATCTGTTTTAGGATATGATTTGTTTTGCCTTCATGTAAAGCTGATGTGGGATAAAGTTTAAAGTATCTATGTTTTCTTTCTTTTAGATCGTGTTTTTGGAACAAGCTGAACAGCAAGAGCAACTGGCTAAGAAGTGGGGGTTCAAAATGTCTGACATAAGAGAACTGAGTAACTAGTATGTGATTTTTGTAGATTAATTTCAGCAAATGAAGTTTATTCTCTAAGTGAAGTAATGTGAGTTTCTGTTAATACATTTTGGCAGGGAGCACTTTAGGTCCAGTCTCATAGGCAAAACTCCCTTTCAGCTCTGTGAAAGCTCTTAACCCAAGAGCTGCCTGCATCCTGGATGGGACTTGGAATGTGGACGGTCTGTGTGCTTTTTGCATTCCTTGGTTTGATACTGCAGCCCTGGCTGAAATGTGCTGGCTGATTTACACTGCACAGAACAAAATGCCATATTTAGCTTTCATACATGACCTCTTCTGCGCTTAGAGAAGTAACTGGCGTTCTTTTTTGAGATTACATTTTATATCCATTTTGTTAGCAGCAGACTGTGCCTAACTAGCTCGAAACTCTAGACATAGTAAATGTAGGTAACACTAACACTGCAGATACAAAGCTCAATTGCTTGGGCTTTGACACGCTCCCTAATAAAAACTAATAAAATTAAAAGATTCGAACCTTCTAAATAGAGATCTTGGATTTCTAACTGTATTGCAGCTTGAGCATTTCTTTTTTCTCCAGCCAGTGAAATCCCCCACCTTTCTGGTGAAGTCACATAGTTTTGGATTGCACCTACTATGTTTTGCATGTAGTAGCGCAAGTGTAAATGACTTGTGGCTTAGAATCTAGAGCTGCAGCACTGTTTTAGTGTTTCATTGTAAAAAAAATCTGTATGCTTTGTTGGAAGGCAAATCGTACAGAATATGTGAGTCATCAGATGTCTTCTCCACTTGAAATAGCCTGAGGAAAATGGAAGGTGCTGGAAATACGGATGAGATGATTGAGAAAGATCTTTCAGCATTTCTAGTATGCAGGAAAACAGGAAGAAAGGGAACTACAAAGAGAAGAAATCACTGTTCATTCAGTAGTCAGGGAGAAGGGAAGAGGAATGAGAGAAATTTTATAGTATGTGGAGTTCCAGCACTAAACAAAATAATCATAGCAACTTCCTGGTAATGTTGATATATTCATCCCTGTTAATGCATGGACAGTACATGACAACAAATAATATTACATTTCCATTGTACATATGCCTTTCCTGTCAAGATATTGAACAGAGATTTTTTCCACCAGTGTCTGTCTTCATTCTTTTATGATGAATTTTTTACAATGAATGAGGGTGGTGAGGCACTGGAACAGGTTGCCCAGAGAGGTTGCGGATGCCTCATCCCTGGAAGTGTTCAAGACCAGGTTGGATGGGGCTTTGGGCAAACTGGTCTAGTGGAGGGTGTCCCTGCCCATGGCAGGGGTTTGGAACTAGATGATCTTTGAGGTCCCTTCCAACCCAAACCATTCTGTGATTTGTAGACACAGTGGCTGTTCTTTCACTAAACATTGAAATTAATTGATTGAATATATATATAGAGAGACACACACACATATAATGTAGAGGAAAACTAGGATATAGAAAATTTCAGTTTTGTAAATATAATGGTCTGGCAGCTAGAGGCATTCCAACTATATCCATACTAGGAAGCAAGACCAGGCCCAAATCATCTCTTTTTCAGGTGGATTCTACCGTGGAGAAATTTTAGTTTTGAGAAGTCAGTTTGGCTTTATTTCTTGGTATTTAGTCTGGGTAAATATTAAAGATAATTGGATTCATCATGCTCTTGTATTACTTTTCTCTCAGCTAGCTATATATGAGTCTGTGTAAAAGTTATTATTCAACTGCTTCATACTGTAAAAAGAGAATGGGTAGAGGTGCAGTATGAGTTGACGCGCTGATGCTGAAAGAGAAAGGTTAATCTGTACTTGCTGTTTACTCTAGTGGATTTTTCTCAAACATACTATTTAAAGCAAAACTACTTAGCATGGAAAATTTTGTGGCGTTTTTGACTATTATAATATTCTTTTATTTCCCTAGTGAATTCTTCATGCCAGGAATGGTTGATACACACATTCATGCCCCTCAGTATTCATTTGCTGGTACAAGAGTAGATCTACCTCTTTTGCAGTGGTTGACTACCTACACATTCCCAACAGAATCCAAATACAAAGACAGTGATTTTGCAGAAGAAGTGTACACCAGAGTTGTTGTAAGTACTGCAAATGTCACTTACCTATTTGACATCATTCATATGTGTGAAATATACGTATGTTTTCAGCAGGCCAGCAGGAATAGTAAAGCATGTTTTCATGTCATGAAAACCAGATAAAACCAACAGTAAAACCACTGTTCTAATTGCCAGCCAAGATTGCCCCCTTACGAGTTCCAATCTTGCTGATAAGACAGTTCATTTAATCACATGGTTAACAACTAACTTGTTTATCATCTTTTCTGATATCTGAGTACAATGACCAACATTTAAGAGTAGTCCCAGAGCTAGTATAGCCAGCAGGTCTGACAACCTCAGTGCAGAAATAACCAAGCATAGTAAAAAAAACAATTCAGAGGATACTTCCTTTTCTGCAAAAAAAAGCCTCTATCATTAAATTGTCTTCTGCAAAGACTACATGAGAGAGAAGATGCTTCTCACAGACAACAAATCTGGGGTGTTTTGGAGTAATTAAGGGAGATGTTTCTACAGCTGAGGCCCTTGTGGCAGGAATATCTTTCACTGAAGGGGCTTCAGATGAAGTCTATCAATGGTATTGTGGCACAAAGAGAGAGACTGTGTTTGAGCTGGACTGGTTCTGAGTAATATAAAGGTTTTAAGGTCAAGTTGCATTTGATGAACAATAAATAGCTAGGTCATGTTGCAGAGTACTGATTCTGTCCTATAACTGAAATGTATCCTTTAATATGTGGACTGAAATATCTTCAACAGATTAAACAATTTGGCCAACATAAGTTGCCTTGCATTTGACTAATTCTGTGACGTGTTGTCAAAATAACATAGTGAATCTGAAATAAATAGTAATACTGTCCTTGACACACAAATTAAAAACAACAACAACAAAATAAACACACACCCCCCACCAAAAAAAAACCAAAACAACAAAACAAACCCCAACCCAAAAACCCCAAACAAACCCTACCACTCTCTGCCTTCTACCATAATAAAAACGTGTAGGAGCAGCTTGGTCATAGACTCTGGTGACAAGCATATATGCCTTCAGCTACTTAAACATGTAGGTGATCTCACCTTCCGGCTGTGTACCTCAGCACACTGTTGCTGTCTCTATCAGTTCAGATTGGGTGACATCAGCACAGCTAAAGTGCCCATTGTGCAAGGTGTTTGATAACATCACCTGGAAAAGAACTGCCAGCGAGACATGGAAGTTATTTGTAGGAGCTTGGATACAATGGTTAAGCTCTCCCCATGTATATCAAATGGGACAAGGTCATGAAAATGTCTTTACCCCCAAATGCTGCAGAATACCAGTTGCTCTGCAATGTTTGATGGGGCTGATAATAACCCTCAATTGTTAGAAACAGAACTAACCCTGCAGGGAACAGATATTGTTTCATATGTATATTTGTACTTTTGGAGTTGTAATGAAAACATAGTGGATTCTTTCAAATCAAAATTCTGTTTCCAATAAAAACTTTCTATACTTGGTAAAAGAAAAAAAATAGGTGAAATTTGCCAGAATTTAGCTGGAACCTCCTCTGGTCCCTCAAATTTTGGGAAAGCCAGTTCCTCATGCTGATGTTTTAGAAAGAGAATGTTTTTAGATTTCATTTAACAATGATATTAGGAATCCAGAAGTAGACAATTCTGGATTTAAAAATCTAAGAAAGACAAAGGTAGTTTGTCTTAGTAATGACATTGTTATTTTTGAGACTCATTTTAGGAACCCTTAAAGACATTTTTAATTATTGGCATTAATTTGAATATTGTATGGAAAAGACAGAGCTTGGCTTCATGTTTGTCAAATAACTAGCTCTAGCCATTCTCAAAAGTTGCGTTCTATCTCACTAAAAAAAAAAAATAATTCTCAAATTACATTGTCACCAGAATCTAAAACTGTAATTTAAACCTGTGTGTTGGATAGGTAGTCAATATAGTTTGCATTAGTTCCAAGATCAAGTGAAGCTGTACATTTAATCATGACTTAATGTAAGTTTAAATGGCTTTTCATTTACTGTTATGTCCTCCAAAAGTAATACAGAGGTGTCAACCACCCTCTCCTTTCAAATGGTATAATTAATTAAATAAATAACGATCTGAACAGTTGTTCTCAGTTTACTTTGAAGTCTGTTACTTTGCATTCAAGCATAACAAAGGGGCTTCATGCATGAAAGCCTGGCTATTTTTCCCAGCCACATCAGGTGGCCAAATGAAAAACCACTACTTTTCCCCAAAAGCCTTGCTTTGCTAAGGTTAGGTAAACAATACTTCACTGTGAAAATTGGAGAGCCTTTCAAAACTAGGAAGTAACATAAATGACTGGTTCTTTGTATTTCTAAATGTAAGTCAGGATTTATTTCCAGTTTGAGTGAAGGAAATATAGACTGGTTTCTATGGGTTTACCCATTGTTAAAATCCTGTATGGATTTGGAAGAGTAATTTTTGTATTAACAGTCAGGTGTAAAAAAGCTATTCTGAAATTAAAAATTTTACCTTCCTGCCTCACTGCATAATTTCACAATAACTGAATGTTCTCCCAGTTTGAAATCAGACTGCCTGTTCTGCATTTTGGCAGCTTGACTTTTTTTTTTCCCCCAGACAGTTGAAACTGATTTCTTTTTATAGAGGCGAACTCTAAAGAATGGCACGACTACGGCTTGCTACTTTGCAACAATTTACACAGATACCTCTCTTCTTCTTGCTGAAATTATAGGTAAGACTAATGAGTTTTGAAGGATGTTGCACAGACTGCGTTAGTTGAAGGAAACAGATCTTGGGAGTTTTAGAGTAGCTAGAGATCTGTCTTGATACTAAATTGTTTTTTACTCATTGTATCTGTCATACTGTATCCCCCAAATCCACCCTAGTTACCCTATTCACTTAACTGCCTCTCTCCTACTGTTGTTTCTGCTAGTCTCTTCATTCCCAAATCAGCTGCTGCCTGAACTTGAATTAGATCTGCTGGAGTTCCTCTTCAGCTGCAGCTCTCTGCTCTTTCTAGCCTTTTGCTATTTGAGGATTAAAGGGCTGAATGACAAGAAGTGCAGTCAGTGCATTAAATTCCTGATACTCTGAAGTTTCAGTTGAAACTGAAAAATCCCCACTTCCCCTCTGAAATCACAACAGGGGAAGCTGCATCAGTATCTTACCCCTCCCTTTTGTCCACCATTGCAAACACCTGCTGTTTGAAAGTGTGATGCTTGCCGGATTTCTCAAGGCTCAGCCAGCTCCCAAAGCAGAGCAATTTAATGAGAATCACAGTGCCCATCAAAAATTCCCTAGTCTTTCTGATTTTGTAGGAAAACCTAAAACTTTGAAGCTGTTGTATTCAACAACTCGGAAAGTAAAAATGGACAGACAAAAGAGATCTGATTTAGAAACATGTTTAAAAGCTTAGAATTGAATATGATATGCATTCCTTTTAAGTCTTACACATGAGTTCTGAGTCCTAGCATGGAAAAAATCTCAAGAAAGAGGCTAGAAGTAGCTCTTGTAATTTTCTCCATCCAACGGCACGTGGGAGGCACCTTAGGGACCTCATTCCTGTCTCGTACGGAGAGACAGTTTGTGAGATCTTTGTGCCTTTTCTCAGCTCAGGGTTATCATCTACTACCGCTACTGTGCTTTGATGCTTGTGTTTCTCATCCTCTACTTCAAGTGGTCTTCTTCATATATTACTATTATGAATTCTGGCTGTGGTTAAACTAGAGTAATCTAGAACTCAATTATAATATTTATAAAGTTGGGTACTAATGTGGAAAAGGAGAACTCTTCTGTAAATATGGTTTGGTTTTTTCTCTTTCCTTTTCAGCCTTAAAAGTCATATGGATGGTCCCAACTTAAGAAAAGAACATAAATTCTGTTCATCTTAAATGAAGCTGGGGTGGAATTTGCTATTTTGATTTCAGTACAGGCTTTCATAGCAGTTTTTGAGAAACAGTGATTCTGAGTTTTATATTCTTATGCATCTCAACAGATAAATTTGGTCAACGAGCATTTGTTGGAAAAGTCTGCATGGATCTGAATGACAGTGTGCCACAATACAAAGAGATTACTGCTGACTCTGTCCAAGAGACAGACAGGTAAGGTGATTAAATTGAAGGCACAACCTTTAGAAATAAGACTTTTTCATACATCTGAAAAGCAAAAGTGAAGCTGACTAGGAACTTAGAGATGTAAATTTATTAGTAACATTTTTTTTTTCTTCTGACAGCAGTGTTTCCTACAGCTCTGGCAATTCCTGCATACCTAGTTGCTGCACAGCCCAAGCAGTTTCTCTCTAGCTCCTCCAAAGAAAGGGAGAAGCGAAGGCTCTAGGGTTTGGAGAGAATACATGCATGTTGTCTGTTTTCTGCCTCCTCTTTTTCTTTCACAGCTCTGTGTGTGGAGGTGACCTGACATGGGATGATGGGGTGGCAATCAGTTCCTTTGCCCCCACCAACTTCTGAGCTATTTCCTTCCCCCATTTAGGATAAAGCTTTATTCAATTGTAGGAGACAGCTTTCATATAGCCCATTTTAAACATACTGTGGTTCTCCTCCCCTCCAGCATAGCACCAGTGAAATTACTCTAACTTATAGCTGACAGAAGGAAGGAGAATCAAATCAAGGCAATGCTCATGGCAAAGGGGACCCAGGATGAGTATGGCACCCTGCTGTCTTAGGTTTCCATTGTCTTTTGCATCCGTGTTCAGAAAATGCTTAAGCAGCTTTTCTCATGGGACTATTTATTTACTTGTATAAATGTTTCCAATATCATGCTGAAACAGAAAATACTTAACAGTAATATAAACATGGCTCTTGTGTGAAGTTGTTACCTTATTTTTAAAAATCATGCTAGAAGAATGCCAGTGAAAATTAGAAATAGTTATGGATTTCTAATGGTGTTGATATTTAAAGGCATTTTAAAAACATGTAGTATTAGTCATGTGCACTCTACTAACATTTGTTTTCCTTTGCTCCCCAGTTTTTGTAATATAGCATGAATCTTGCTGAATGGGTCTGAAAGTGTCAGAACTTCCCATTTTGATAGTTTTTAAAGCTTCAGAATGATCTAAATAGCTTTCTTTCAAATACCTATCTTGTGTCTCCAACTCCCTTCTCATGTGATTGTGTTAATAACAAATGTTTCTCTGCTTGGGATGAGAGCATGCCACAAGTGCTCCAGAGCTGTCTAGAGAAGAGAGGTGTGTGCTTGTCAGCATGGATTGCGACTACTTACCTCATCAGGCCTGAATCGCAGCAATACAATTGCAGAAGGATGAAAAAGCTCTTCCTTAAAAGGGCAAACTTTTTTCTTTTTTTTAAAGAATGTAAGAAATGTGATCTGTCACACTGTCAGAAGATGTATTACACTGATTTCAGTTCTTTACAGTTACCCTCCAGAAATATTTATGTGGTGTGTGTGGAAATAATATACAATTCCAAGGGCTTCATAGAGTAAATCTAAATTCAAGCCAATAATTTGAATCTACCCTCCTCCTGCAAAGATTGCTCAATAAAAACTTAAGGAACTGAAATCTAGAATACATTATATGCTGCTAGTAGTTGTAGTCATCTGGAAAAGGGAGGACCCGTGTTCAAATCTGTTCTGCTACAGAAGACAGTGGGTTGAACCTGAGCTTCTTTCCTCATAGAGAAGTACATATGCCAGCAAAGTGTAAGGTGTTTTGAGAAAGGTATTTCAGGTTTGAAACAATGCTGACACTGTTCAAACAGTGTGAAAAAGAGTGCAAACAGCCATCGCATCACCTGAGAGTTATACCTGTGTTATGCAGTTTCTCCTCCAGCAAATATTTTGTTGTATCAGGTGAATCAGTAAGAGGAGAGACAGACAGACAATACCTAATTCAGTTTGTATTTTGGGTCTCAAAGTTGATGGACTCGAACGTTTTTGGTCATTGCAGAGGTTTAGCTTAGGTCTCTCACTTCCAGCTGGTGATCTAGCATCAGCTTCAGTATTACAAAACTAGCCTCCAGCATAATTTTCTTTTCCAGCTGAAGATATTTCACAAACCTGATTCAATGTTTGTTGTGACCAAAACTATGGGTTTTTCTGAATATAAACTATGACACAAAAATTCACAGACATCCTGTCCAGAATCCATCTCACATTGGCTTTTTTTTTAAAAAAAATTATTATTATTTGCATACAGTATGCATAAGAGTTTTCAAAGATTTTCTTCCCTGCAAAGTCAGAGGAAGTTTTATTTGCTCATCTGCTTTATCCATATTGACTGCTCGGGGGTTTTTGTAGAGGTCCCTGAGGTAGCTTCTTTTATTTAACAAAGTAAGTAAATCTATACTGTATTTTCCATGAGGTGGATAATCTATAGGCTAACCTTAATATAAACATTTCCAGAAAATCAAGGGTCCTTTAAATGAATGAGAACATATGCAGCTACTGTAAGTGAGGTATGAAATATTGCAGCATCTTTTTAAAATAGGATTTTAAATTTAAAAAAATATATTTACTGATGTAATTTAAATTCATGAACAGACAAATTTAAATGTTGAGTTTTTTCTGTAATGTTGTAGCTGTAGCTTATAATTATGTTTTCAATGAATTTAGTGTAACATGTATTTGGTTTTCAGTGAGATCTCAGAGTAATTACCACATGTCTAATGTTAATTATTGCAAATTAAAATCTGCATATTCAGGGTCAAATTCACAACTGACATAATTTGGTGTAAATATGTGCACTTCGTTGTGTTGCTTTTTTAATTTCACCTGAGAATCTGGCCCAACTTTCTCTAAAAAAAAATAAAAAAATCTACATCTGAAATGCTTAATAGAGCATCTAAATAAATATTTTCTGTATTTTTCATAATTTGTAGCACAGATGTCAGATTTATAACCGATTTTTTTCCTACTCTTTTTCAGGTTTGTTAAAGAACTACTGGAAAGGAAAGTAAGTAGAGTTCTCCTTTGTATTCACTTCTGTATTCAGAAAATGCTGTGTCAATATATGAAATAGTTAATCCCACTGACAAACTCTGCTGGCTTAGTAGCAAATCAATAAAGTACATCTTTCTGTGTAGCAGACAGATATCATCAGTCTGCAAAATGTCCTGCTAGCCATGTTCTTGAGAAATGGACTTGTAGCAGTGTAAATTCAGTTTCATGTGGTCAGAGCACAGCAGAGTAATGTTCTATGTGCGTTCTCTATTGACTTTAAAATATTCTGATTCCTAGAAAGGGCAATTTTCTGTGAAAGAAAGGTGGAAGTCGGTCTATCACTTGGTGGTATATAAATAGACTACTAAAAGAAGTTCTTAGCGGCAGAAATCAGTATTTCTACAGTACAGTTACTAATCCATTACCAAATTAGTATTTTGGGTCAGCACATGTCTTCCAGTGTGTTTCTAAAGAAATTCACATTTACACTCCTGAGGTAACGATAGAGGTTTGCACTTTAATATTAGAAGCAGGGATACTTTGCTTAGCAGCCTTTTGTTTTCAATGGCTTAATTTGTTGACATTTGTATCTCAAAATATTCCAGAACAGATGCCTAGAGTTTAATGCATAAATCATATGTATTAGTAGAGTAAATCAGCTAATCTGCAGAAGCCCTGAGCTCCTTGTATCTGGGAGGTGGTATAAGAAACTGCAAACCAAGTTATCATTACCATCTTCTAGTGGTGCCACATGCACAACTATTGCCTATGACGTGATGCCATTGTCTATTTTTTTGGTGCAAATTTTAATCCAGAAGTGCAAAGTGTAAAGTAAACATCTGTAGCTCCAGTCTTGGTGTCTTCTTCACCATCTCCTTCTACATAGCAGATCTGATGCTACCACTAATCTTCCTATCTAGGGAGTATAGGGACAGTTTGTAGCTATCATGAGTGGAGAAGATTGAACAATAAAAAGGCTTTGGTTTAACAGAACTCTGCGGTTTTGCATCGTTAAGTATTTCATATTCACAGAAATGGGACTCAGAAAAACATCTGGTCATTCAACTGACTTCTCGTAACGCATACTGGACTGTCAGCAAATATGAAAAAGCTTATCCTGAAGTCTGGTGAAATCGCAGTGACTCAATGAAAGAGTTCTAATGAAAATAACTTCTTTACCAAGTTTTATTAAAAATTTTTTCAGAAAAAAACTTTGATTATTTCTGTGGTGAAATCTCTAATAAAAATAAGGCAATGACTATACAACTTGAGTTGGCAAGGATGCAGTAAGCAGTAAGTGATGGAGACAACATGTAATTGCTGTGTAAATGCTTATCTTAATTATGGTTACTGACATATAGATGTAGAATCCCAAGCATGTCTTTTTAATATTTTCAGTATCCAAGGGTACAGCCTATAATAACTCCCCGCTTTGGCCCTTCCTGCACAGAGGATTTGCTGCGTGCCCTTGGCGATTTAGCACAGGCTCGTGATCTCCATGTGCAGGTAAGCTCTGAGAGCTCTATATACAATTTAGTTTGGACAGATAGCATGCAGACCAGGGAGTATTCATAATTTCAGCAAAACACTTAAATCACAGTTGTGGTTTTACCCCATCTGGCAGCTGAGCACCACGCAGCCACTGGCTCACTCCCCTCCAGTGAGATGGGGAAGAGAATCCCCCAGTGGGATGGGGGAGAGAACTGGAAGAGTGAAAATGAGAAAACTCGTGGGTTGATATAAAGACAGTTTAATAAGTAAAGCAAAAGCCACACGCGCAAGCAAAGCAAGACAAGGAATTCATTCCCCACTTCCCATGGGCAGGCAGGTGTTCAGCCATCTCCAGGGCAGCAGGGCTCCATCACACCTAATGGTGACTTGGGAAGACAAATGCCATCACTCCGAATGCTGCCGTCCCCCACTCCTTCCTCTTCTCCCAGCCCCTTATATGCTGAGCATGACGTCATATGGTATGGACTGTCCCTTTGGTCAGCTGTGTCCCTTGATGACTTCTTGTGCACCCCCAGCCCACTTGCTGGTGGGGCGGTGTGAGAAGTAAAAAATGCCTTGGATCTGTGTAAGCACTGCTCAACAACACCAAAAACATCTCTATATAGCAAAAAATCTCTATATTATCAACAGTGGTTTCAGCACAAATCCAAAACATGGTCCCATACTGGGTACTATGAAGAAAATTTACTCTATCCCAGCTGAAACCAGGGCACACATTCTTACCTTGGAGCCTGTCTTTTAAATTGCTCTGAAATTAGTAATGGTACTCTGCAAGAACACTGTGACCTGCACGGGAAATGAGAAAAGCTCTTACCTGGAAGGATGCACAGTTCAGCAAGCCCCAGTGCATGGTCACTAAGGGACTGGCACCCAGTATCATAGGTTAGAGTAACCCTTTGGTTGCTAAAGATTGCTCTCCGTGGTCTAAGGTTGTTACGTCTGTCTTCCTGCTTTCTGCTGTTTCTGTACAGAACATATTTTAGTAGATAAAAGAGTTACTCATCTTTGTATCTTATTTAACATTGTTAACATATCTATGAGATTTCCAGTGTGATGAAGTTTCTGTGTCTAAAAAAGACATATTTTAAAGCTTACTGGTCTGTTGAAACTTTGAGATGTTTCTTTTTTGGTTTTACAGTTCTAAGCATATACTGTTTTAAAGCAAGTCTACATTAAGATATCTTGTCATTATGAAGTGAGCATTTTGAAAATATATGTTTCAATGGGAGTACAGGAGGTCCAGATTTTTATCTGAGACTAGGAATTAATCAGCCTATCTGAAGATACACGGAGTAGCTACCTATATGTTGCCCTGATTCCAGGGTCCACTCTGTGGTAGGCTGGTTCTCTCTTTTACCTCACACTCATATGTATTATTTTATTTATTATTTTAACATTTGCCAAATACCAAGCCAGCCATTATGTCACCAAACTACTGGGATGGACTATCCAGGCATACCATCTCACATCAGTTTTAAAGGAGCAAATGGAGCTACTTTTTTGGGTCCCAGGGACCTCTCCAATGAAAAGAGAAACCCAAGGACTAGATTGATCTAACTATAGGCTTTACAAATACTGGTTTCTATCATTACATGTTTAGCACCAGTAGGTTGCTCAGAAGGTTGCAGTGTCATATTTAATGCTATTTAAAGCACTCATTGATATATATTTTCTTATTGCAGAGTCACATAAGTGAGAATGAAGAAGAACTCAAACTTGTGGAGAACATGTTTCCTGCCTACCAGAATTACACTGAATTGTATGATAAAAACAAGCTGCTTACCAGTAAGGTAGCTGCATAAACACTTCCACAGCACAGCTTAGAATTATCCATGTAGAGAATATGATGTTAACTGTAGTCACCTGGAAAGTTTGTATTGTTTTGTCAAGGTCAGTGACATCTGGGGGGAAGTAAATTGGTTTTATGTTATGTGTTGCACAGGTGTTGGTCAAGGTATTGGAAGTTTTAGACAAGCCCACACTTTTCCTAAGCGTTTTGGGGGAGTTGAACAATGAAGCTATTTTATGATCTGTGATCCATTTTCCAAGGGCTCCAAAGAGAATTGGGGCAGTGGGATCAGAAGGACACTAGGTAAAACTGGTATTGTAGGAGCTGGTAGTTCTTGGGCAGTACTCAGTTACTCTTATATTACAATGTTCTTGCACACTGCTTTTACCTGAAGATTTGTTTCATGGTGTTATGGTAGGACCAGCTTAATTTTTTGGCAGTTTCCTACAGAAAGGCAGCTTGCCCTGTTGTGTTCTGTGTGTGAACCTCACACACGGACAGGTACGCTTTACTGCTCTGACTATCCAAAAGCGCTCTCATCTCATTAGCAGATTTTACCATGTATTGAAAGGCACAGTGACCTGAAGTGTTGAAATTCATTAGCGCTTTATGCTGGTGAGATAAACGCAAGCAGAGCTGATACCAGCCCCTAATAAGTACAGGTTGGAGTGCCAGAGCACACTTTATTAGATAGCAGAGAGCCCACGCAAGAGTGAATAAGAACCACCTAACTACAGTCAGAGTGCTTAAACATCAGTCAAATTGATTTGAAATTTCAGGAGAGGATTTTCAGAGACACAAAAGGCAGCTGGGAACTCCTTGAGAGTTAGCTATTGAACTCCCATTTCTACCTTTGAAAATGTACCCCAGTAAATTACTTACAGCCCTTTTTACCTGAGAAATCAATACGGACTACTTAAGTACGTACACAGTATTAACTTCTGTTCTATACACACTGATTTGTTGCGTCAGTGTACTGAAGCGAATATTAGTGCTGCAAAAACATAGGTCTTAATTCTATCAGACTTTTATGTGGACAGCACTGAAAATGGTCACTGAAAATCAGGCTTACCGGTGCTTTCTGGCACCAGGCTTCTGGTTGTTTGGGAAGCATTCTATTAAACACAAGCATAACGAAACCGCAGACATTTCGCCCTCCCCAACTGCCAAAACTAAGACACCAAATTAATTTTTTTAATGTTTTAAAAGTATGTTTTTCAGAGCTGTGGCTGAAAGATTTCCTTCTTTTTAAAAAGCAGTAGTGATCAGCAGAGATATGTTTCAGCAGCTACCATATGTATGTTCTTTACTTAAGATGTGGCTATTCTCATTGCGTGTTCAGTTACATTTGAGCTTGATGAGTAGAGACAGCAAGCATACAGTGCTGTTAGGAGATGCTCAGTGGAAATAGTCCCTGTGCTGCTCTCATTTTTATCAGCAGGTTGCAAGGCCTAAGAGTGCTCTTGCTCCTCTCTTTGAGTGGGCATTTGGCATGTGACGTAATTCCAAGTAGATTTGTGTGCGAATAATTAGTTTATGTCCTATTAAATGATGCTATCCTATACTTCTATGTTTTGTGTATACTGCTTGTGAACTTATTTTTAAAGTCAGCTATGTAGGTCAAGAAAGAAAAGTCATTAATCAGTTGCATAACAAATTAGATTATTTTAATTAAGAAATATTCCAGATACATATATCAACCTGGTAAAACCTTTAGAGACACAATGGGAAACATGCTAAGAGTACATACATCTTCCATTATACCTGATGTATTCCCAGCCCCAGTGCTTAATCTCTGTTTTAGACATGAAATATAAATCATAAGGCTACTACAGTGCTAGGTCACTGGGGAATTCTTGGTTTTGTTCCTTGAAGCTCTTAGATCACAGCAGTCACTGCAAGAGTCGGAACCCCATCTTCTTACATTCGTAAGTGAAAAAAAGCTGAGGGAGTGATATGTCAGGCATAGTGAAGTTAATGAGAGTTTCTCCCCTGTTGATTTCAAGAGCTTCATTCAAGAAATGCATTAATATCCCTCGGTGGTAACAGGTGTCCTTTTGGCTATTAAAAGCAGTGCAGCAAAAATCACAGGCACTGAAGTAAATGCAATATTAAGTAAATTGGTGATTCTGTTTTTCTTCAGACAGTGATGGCTCATGCCTGTCATCTTTCTGACGAAGAGCTGAAACTTTTTAGTCTTCGTGGAGCTGCAATTTCACATTGCCCCAGTTCTAATTTTTCGTAAGTTAAAAAAAGCTAAAAAACCAAAGGTATACAATTAAATAAAGCTGTTC